TTACCACGCACTAGTTGTATAGGGGAGTAATCATGATATTCAGTTGGTCGGATTTGAATTAGGGCAGCAGCATGTAAAATTGCATGTCCCCAACATGAAATTGGTAAGTTGGAATTTTGTAACAATGGTCGAGCAATTAATTTGATGCGCTTAATGAGTGATTCGGCTAGACCATTTTATGTGTGGACATAAGGTATCGGATGCTCCACTTTGATGCCCAATGACATACAATAATCATCAAAAGCTTTCGATGTAAATTCGCCGGCATTATCCATTCTAATGGTTTTAATTTGATAATCTGGAAATTGAGCTCTTAATTCAATAATTTTAGCGAGGAGATTTGGAAAAGCCTGATTTTTAGTGGATAATAAACACACATATGTCCATCGAGTGGAAGCATCTATCAAGACCATAAAATATCGAAAAGGTCCCGAAGTGGGATGAATAGGACCACATATATCACCTTGAATCCGATGAAGAAACATAGGAGATTCAATTCCAACTTTAGTACGTGAAGGTTTTAATATCAATTTTCCCTTTGCACAAGCATCACAAATAAATTCTTTAAAAGAAGGGAGACTGCTGCTCGATACGGTATGCCCAATAGAGTTAGAAATAATCCGACGCATCATACTAAGCCCAAGATGACCCAATTGCTCATGCCATAATTTAAATAAATTTGGGTCTTTAAATTTTAAGCTCAATACAACATGATTAATAGAAGGTCGAATGTAAGTATGGTACAAGCCTGAGGAGAAAGAGGGAAGTTCTTCTACAATTTGCTTTTGACTATCGTGTGAGTAAGTCATAAGAAGATACTCTATATTATTTTCAGTCTTAGTTTCAAGATGAAAACCATTTGATCGAATATCTTTAAAACTAAGGAGTGTTCTTTGTGATTCAGGGTACAAAAACGCATTGTTAATTATTAATTCAGTACCCTTAGGAAGAGTAAGTAAAGCTCTGTCGGAGCCAACTATCATGATTTTATCATGAGCAATTGTAGAAACACTCTCTTTCTTTTCATTTAAAGTTTGAAAAAAAATTTCTATCTTTCAAAATAGTGTGCGTAGTAGCACTGTCGACCAGACATAAAATGCCCTCTTTCTCCATTAGATGCAAACTAATGAATGGTTGTGGTACACTAAAAGAAAAGTAAAATATTATAAGCAAACATAACAATAGTCTCAATCAAATCATAGTATAATAAGCAAAAACGAACCACAAATTTTGGTGATATCAGACATCGTCAAATTCTACAAAGCAAATTAAATCATTCAAGGATATTATTTTCTAAATGATAATAAATGTACTGAGATTAGAAAAAAATAGAATGAATTCCCTGAATTCTTACTACAAACAAGATGTTTGAGATTGAAAGAAGTAAATTAACAGAAAATGTTTGTATAATATTCATATACAATATTATCCCATATTTCAAAAAAGATAATAAAATGGCTATCAAAATACATATCAAATCAAATTTGTTGAATCTCACAATGAAGAACTGTATCAGATCATGATGACTTTTTGTAATTATTTTCAAAAATACGAAAGGGAAATAATTTACAAGAGTCATTATTTTCACAGCAAATAGTTCACAATGAACAACTGTACCAGTCATTATTTTCAAAACAAATTTGTGCATCAAATATGTACAACAAATATACCAACCAATTAAATAACATGGCTTCATAATTGTAACAGTCATCCAATAATAATGGTCATAAAATTAAATAAACAAATCTAAACCAATATAAACCGATTACAGAATAACACATCAAAGCTATCAAGCTATCAAGTTGGTTCAGTTTCACATTCGACCAAACAAAAGACAAATCATATGTGGTACTATATTTCCATTTGAAGTCATCTACAGTGTATATAGTAAAAGGAGAAATTCTATTCAATAGTCAATACAAATACAATATTTAAGTATTGCTAATATTCAATGGTCATGGAAAAACAATGGTTATGGTAGGATCCATTAAATATCAAATAAACCATTCCCCATAAATCTTCTTATAAAAATTCATATAAAATCTACTAATATACACATACAACAGAAAGCAGTGATGAGAGGATGGTCATATAACAAGATAACGAATGCTCGGAATATAATTGTCTGTTAACCACTGAAACTTTTTGAATATCATGATAAACGAAACGGAAGTTTCAGCCAAATTGTTTTCCAGTTCACGATTATAAAAAAAATGAGAAAAAATTACCTTGACAGGAAAAACACGATTTTTTCCTAGGGCAACACCAAGAACGAACTAGAGCGTGCTGATAACGTGTTGTAAATTGGGATCCTCAAGCATTCATCAATCCACACCAAACAAAGTAAAGAGAAACGAGCGAGAGAACAAGAGACATAAGAGCAGAAAATTCCATCTTTTATTCATCGTATATCACCCTTTTATAGGGTTTACAAGTAAGAAGCCCTAAAACCTAATTTCCCTAACTAATGGACTTCAGGCCCAATTATCTATTAGTAATGTCCATATTCATATATTTATAACATATACATTCATTTTTAAGACACATTCAACAAGCTCAATGAAATGCGCAGTATCAACAAATCCAACTTACAACCATCGAAGCTCAATTAACCAAGTTTTCAAAATTAAATACACACATTCAACAACCTTACTGAAATGCTCAATATCAACAAAACAACTTACAACCTAGTACAAAACTCAATCAACCATGTTTTCAAAACTAACAACACATTCAACAACCTCACTGAAATGCCCAATATCAATTAACACAACTTAAAACCCAGTACTTAATCCTGTGCAAAAATGGCTAATGGCATCTTCCGTCAATATTCTTTGATTACTCGATCACTTGTTTCATTGGAAAGACCTCCCCAAGCATGCGCTCGACATACATTCATGCGAATAACCCACAACTATGAGTATCGTCCTGCACAAATTGTTCTTCCACTGGTATCACCTTAAATCATCAAATTTAGGTGGTAACCCCAATGATCTAAAATAACCGACAACCAACTGATGAATTTAGGTGCAAGATTTACGCCATCTTCAACTCCAACCATCACCCTATAGATCATGAAACAATTAATATTATTTTTTTAGATAGTTTCTAGCTTTTTAAAAACACAATATTTATATATAAAAAAAAAACATAAATAGAAATCTATCAAGAAACAACAAAGCACAAATAGTTTCTCGAACTAACAAAGAAACAATTTCTATAACAAGAAACAGTTTCTTGAATAAAAAACATTCAAGATATAGTTTCTTGTTCAAGAAACATGTTTCTTGAGCAAGAAACAGAACAAGAAACGGGTTTCTTGAGCAAGAAATAGTACAAGAAACAAGTTTCTTGAACAAGAAACAGGTTTCTTGAACAAGACACACAGGTTTCTCGAACAAGAAATCGGTTTCTCGAACAAGACACAGGTTTCTCGAACAAGAAACATGTTTCTTGAACAAGAAACGTTTTCAAGAAACCGGTTTCTTGAACAAAAAAACTGAAGTTTATTCACATAAACTACAAAACTCTTTCTTGAGCAAAAAACATCATACCTCATTAGTAGATGTCGTCTCTGTAGTGTTCCAAGTATTAGCGCCACAAACAAGTAAGAAGTTTGTTTGAAGACCTGTTTTCAAATTAAGAAAATGAAGAAATACCTCAATTTACATTCCTACAACAATGAGAATTGAAGAAAATTATCCTAAAAAAAGTACACTTAATGTTGAATATCCATTCCAAGAGGCACACAACAAAAAAATGGCATGTGACAAGTTAAAATTAACAACACAAACTAATAAACAAGTAAACAACAACAATCTAAGGTTGGAAAAATTACATCTTTATCTTTCAAAATAAAGTGATTTTTTTTCCTATTTTATATCAATTCTCCATTCAGTTACATTAACGACATAAAATCATTTGTAACATATATGGCTGATATTATTGACAAAATGTAACTTAGAATATTGGATAAATACACAGCAAATAATGGATATTTTCACGCAATCTGATGTTTTCATATATAGAATGGATATGTGACAGTTTTTCCATGAAACAAAAGGAAATTTACACTAAATGATGTAAATCATTGCAACAAATCCAATCTCACATAATATTTATGTACAGTTAAAAGCACACATACCCTTTATCTAGTGGCTTTTCTTTGTTGCTTATATGACATAGTGAAAGCAATTCCAATGAGAATGAACGCATGACATGAATAACTCAAATATTTTTCATTTACAAAATCTTGGGTATAAAGTACAAAAATTTGTAGAACATCAAATCTTGAATTCGACATCAAGAGAAAAAAGAAAAGAGAAAGAATGCAGATAAGGAAGAGAGACCATAGCAAAATTATATGAGAGGACAAGTCTCACATTCTCAAAACCAAATGCAGCTTAAATATGGTAGTTTGGCAGAGTCTCCACGAGTTTTATACAGATCCTGCACGCTCAAACCTACAAATAATTGAAACATACTGAGCCAAGTAACGACACAATCAGCACAAACACTTTTAATCTACTTGAACATTGATTGTTGCACCGAAATTTCTATAAAATCACCTTCTGAAATAAAGGATAATTACAAGAGTCTGGCATAATTCCAAAATATAAGAAATAAAAAAAGTTAACACTAATAAACTATAATCATCATTCAAATTTACAATTATGTTTACAAAATACAAGCCCCTTACAAAACCACAATTGGTTTCATTCTAAAAATATCACCAATTAATATTCCATGTATCCTTGTAAGCATTTGACTCGACTCAAAATAAATCCATGCCAACCAAATTCATAAGACCATGACCCAATATACATAAACCATTTTTTAACCATTTCTAAGTTTATGAAAATAGTAGTCTATACAAAAAACCATCAATATTTTTCCAGACATGAATCAAACTTAACATATTTAATTTGCTAATTATACGATAATGGAAAGACAAATTTTACATGAGTAATCGAGATATCGAGATTTACTTACCAACAAAATTAAACGGCCGGGAGCACACAAGAAGGAGAAATCGAGATTGTACCTGAAAAAAAGGAAAGAAGAAAAAAAAGAGGTTTGAGGAACCAAATACCGAATTATTAAGCTTCCATTTTTAAATAAAAAATAGGATAAACAAACCCTAATCAAACCCTACAAAACTGTACCTTGAGGTTCAATTCGGTAGTGCCGACGGCGGAGGTCGATTCGCCGAAGGAGAAGCGTAGTCGACTTGTCGGAGCAGGTCAATTTCGACGGAAACGGGTCAATTTTTTGGAGAAGTGCCGGAGGAGGTCGATTCACCGGGTTGACATTTTGGAGCGAGAAAGCCTCTGAAAATTTGGAGAAGGAAGAAAGCGAGAAAAAATTGGGCAGAGAAGGAAGAAAGTGAGAAGAAAATGGGAGAGAAGAAGAAAGCTTGTTCTGTGAGATGAAAATGGAAGAAAAAAGAAGAAAGCTTGTTCTGAATTCTTGAGATTAAAGGGGAGGGAAGCGGGTTGATATTTTGGAGAAAGGAAAAATTGAGATTGAGGGTACAAGTGTATTTTCACAAGCAAGAATGGCTAGATTTCATCTTTCTTAAAAAGATGGCTATATTTCATTTTTTCTTTCACTTAAGTGTTATAAAGGGCCATTACCATTAAATTAAACCGCCAAACTAATTAATAGTCACATTACAAAATGCAAAGCTTATAATATGTTGAGAGGGAGGAAGTTTGGAGGCTAATGACTCAAAGAATAGAACACCCAAAATGTTTCTCATAATATTACATTCAGCGACAGGAGTCAGGATTTTCACTCAGGATGGTTCAATTTAAAATGTTAAATAATAAATTTGTAGTTTATGTAAAAACGCGCATTTTATATAAAGTTGTATTTACTTATAATTATAGTGTACCATCAAATTTTTAAAAACTTAGAATTCGTATCACCCTCAAACTTTTTTTAAGCAAAAATAAAAAATAAAAAATAAGATTTCGTGTATTTATAATTTAAGTTTAAGATCTATAATTTATGAAAAAAATAAGTTTTTTTATTCAAAATTTAATTTACATTGAACTTTTGCAACACATTGCATAACATTTTTTATTGATGAGAATTTATCAATTGATCATTTTATTAATAAAAAAATAGATAAAATTGAAAATATATGATTACATAAAAAAAAGTGAAAAATCAACATTCAAATAAACAATCGATCAACATTCAAAAATCTAACAATCAACTAAATTCTAAGTTTTATAGATCATTAAATTGATTTACAATTAAGAGGCTGAAAGAGTAAATTATTATATCATTTTCCAAAATATATCTAGAAATGTAAAATATAAAGATTGTTAGTATACTTTTTAATAATTGAATAATATTATTACTTTAAATTAAAATAGCATTGAAAATAAATTTTAATTATTTATATATTCTACATGTTTTTTACATTTTTAATCATATTTTATAGTATTTTTTTAGTTGTATTTAACTATATATATAATGATTTTTTTTAAAAAAAAATTGAAGGCCCCCTGGACCCATGTAGGTCCGTCTCTTAAGTTCACGGTTCATTTACGGCTTGCATCATGTGTTATAAGAGATAATGATAAATAAAATAAAAAAAAAAAATTGTATGGTGTTTGGATGGGGAGAAAAAGGTTTATAATAAATAGCTCATCAAGTCTTTGATATTGGGTACATATCAACTAGTGACTTACTGTTCTACTCATATATATATATATATATATATATATATATATTTTTTTAATCACACACGGACAAAACATATTAGAGTGGTCAATCACTTTGTAAAAGTGTTTTTTTATTTTTAATAGTTGTTGTTCTCATTAAGTTGCTATTTGTTTGTAAAGCAACTTTAGTTAAAGTTGTTTCTTACACTAGAGTATAAATAAGATAAATGATGTAGCAAACCCTAATTTTTCATTCTCATATTTTTCTTTCCATCATCCTCTCATGTTTACTCTCTCAGATCTCCCTTTGCTCTTTCTGTAATCAAACTTGAATGCTCAAGCTTAATATGGTATCAGAGCGGGTCTGACCTAGGACCTACAAATTACAATGACTTTCTTTACCCTTGAAAATGAACTTTCTGATTCTCGAAGCTCTGTGCTTGGGCTTACTTTCTACCCGACCCACGCCATAGGCTTGGGCTTACGAAGGACGCACAAGTGAGGGGACATGTTGGAATATCACTTGTGAGGTGTCCCACATTGATTCTATAGGATAAATGAACCTAGTTTATAAGCCTAGTGGGCTACTCCTCCCATCACCACTTGGTTTTGGGATGAAACCTCACAATAGTGCACCTAGGCCTACCCTGTTATGGTGCGCTTCACCTACAACTCATAGATTTCCTCTGCCATTTGACTCCCGATATCTCCCTCGACCGCATGATCAAGCATATATTGGAGATTTTGGTGAAGTCCATCATAGAAAAATTGATTCAACACTCCCAGGCAAAAAATGGTGGTGCGGGCATTGAAGTTGGTACCCCTTAAATCGCTCCCAAGCTTCATGAAATGTTTCTCCCGGGTTATGGCTAAAGCTAGCCATTTGGGCTCGAAGGTTGGTTGCCTTTTGATGTGAATAATACTTGCCTATGAACTTTTTGTAGATGGCTTCCCAAGTATTGAGCGAGTTTGGGAGTAATGTCATGAACCAAGTCTTGGCTCGATCCTTCAATGTATAGGGAAAGCATCTCATTCGAAGTTGGTTTTCGGTAAGGCCTTGTAGAGGAAAGGTATTGACCGTAGAGTAAAAATCCCGGATGAAATTGAGCGCATCCTCTTGTGCGAGGCCATAAAACGAAGGAAGTTGGTTGAGGTGAATTTCGTCTTAAGATCATAGTTTCGGGCGGTCTCTCCGAGCACGAGGCATGAGGTATTATCTCCAATGATCGGTCGGGCAAAGTACCTCATGTTCAGAGGCAGTGGTGGTAATTGTTCTCCTTGGTTCGCCATTGGTTCGGGTTCGGGTTGTGGTTCGTCAATGTTAAGCTCAACGTAGAGATTGATCGGTGGCGTCTCCTCTCAGGTTGCACGTCGTCGTCTACCTCGCATAAACACAAACAAGCACTATACCCGTGAACGCATCAATGGGAAACAAGAACAAAAACACAATCAACAAACTCAATCTATCTACAAAAGCAAGAGAAATACAGAATTAATCAAATGATCACACAAATCAAGAGAAACACATGAAAACGGGACAACCAACTATCAAATTAGGCGTTCTACTTGCCTTCCCCAGCAACGGCGCCATTTGTTTAGTAGTATTTTGTGGGTAGATGGTAACCGAGCTACCCGATCTCGGGCCGTTCTCAAAAGAAGGCTATTCGGAGCTTTGTTCGCCAATCAATTGTCCAAATAACACAAAATGAGAAAATAAAACCTAAACATGCTAATCAATGGGCTTGAGGTGATTTTAAACTACTAGGAACTCGAAAATTAAAGCACTGGAAATCAATGAGCAAGATGAGAGAAAATAGAAATTAACACTAGTAGAGTCCCTATGACATCGACACAAAACGAAAACAATAAAGAGAAATATGCAAATTCTAAACCCTAGGTAATTAACACTACCCTTCTAACTCTAGATGATTAAGCTCTAATTAGAGTCTCAATCCTTAATCTAGATAGATAAGCAATTAATCCCTAAAAGCACTAAGACAAGCAATAAAAACAATAGCATCCAAGCTTTCCATCCATCATCAACCAAACATCCAAAATCACTTTGATAAGCATCAATAGTAAAAATGAGGCAAAAATCGAAGTATTGAGGTTTAGAATTAAATATCCAATCTTCTATTGCGTGCTAGACGAAATTTGGATTCAAAAGCTCAAAAATTGAACAAAAACGAAAACATCGGAAAAGTCGCCAGAAAATAATATCATAGGCCTCCAAAGGAGAAATAGAGAGCAGAATAGAAAAATAAAATTTTTCCCAAAGTGGGAAGTAGAAAAATGAAAGATAGATCCCCAAATACAAAGCACTAAAGTCTATTTATACTAAGTAACAAAAACATGCACTTCAAACACACACATAAAAAAAACACTCTCGAGCTAAGGGTAACTCGCGAGTTACAACTTGAATTCCGCGAGCAAATTTTGCTGTTAAAGTGTGTGGTGCGTAGGGACTCGCGGGCGAGAGCGAGAAATCGCGAACATGGGGCACGCTCACTGGTGCGAACGAGAAATCGCGAGCTAGCGTGGACTCTCGGGCAGGCCTTGTTCCGCGGGCACGAGTGTGAAGGCCTGAAACTGCCGTGTCCCTCGCGAAAAGTGGTACTCGCGGGCACGAGTTCTCTAGCCTGAAAATCCTGGACTCTCAGAATTTGGCTGACTCGACTTTTAAAGCTCTAATTCATCGCACATACCTCCGATTGACTTGAAACTTCGACCCACGCTCCTCAAATCTTTTTTTTTTCGTCTTGGGATGCACACAAATTCCGTAGAAAAACTTTCATGAATGAACACTCGGGACGGCACATCGCGAAATGACTGTTTCTCCCTTCTGAACCTACAAAAACACCAAAGCGCACAAAAGAGATTGAGAAATACACGAACGCGACTCAAAAAATAAAAACTACTAAGAACGAACAAAAATGGACCAGGACACACAAACCGAACCTAAAAAGACTCGACTAAAGCAAATAAAACACATGAAAAACACACAAAAACATAACAAACAATGGAAGATCTATAAATGTTTGGAAGTCACCTTGGATTCCCAACAATTGTGGGTTTAAGACTAAGTGTGAATTTGAATAGGATATTGAGAGGTTAACTTGGGTGAGTGATTTATTGTTGAAGGGTCAGAGGGGATGGGATAGAGATCTAGTTTTACAATCTTTTAACCCTTTTGATGCAGGTTTAATCCTTAATATTCCATTGGCTTTCCTGGTATCAAAGATAAACTCATATGGAATGGTAACCCCTCAGGAGCATTATTAGTGAAGGAAGCATACAAAACATCTTGACTCACAAAGCTGAGAAGACTGCTCAAGTGGATGGCCCCAGCAGAAACCATGAAAAACTCAGAAGTATGGAAAACAAAATGGAGACTTCCCATTGTGAGAAAAATCAAAACATTTCTTGGGAGATGCTGGTTTGATTTCCTTAGTGTGAAAAGCAGATTGCAAGGAAAAGGGATGAAGATTGATGGAACTTGTGAGGGTTGTGGTCTGGAGGAGGAGTATCTAAACTGTTTGCTATTTAGGTGTGATAGAGCTGGAAGGTGTTGGAAGATGAGTGGGGTACAGTGGAACAATTTGGAGTCTGGGAAAGGGGACTTCAGAAGTTGGTGTGGTGAAGTGAGTGGAAGTTTTAAAAACAGGAATATGGTAGAGAGGTTAAGCCTCTCTGCTTACTTGATTTGGGAGTTGTGGTGGAGAAAGCATCCTTAGGTTGGAAAGAAGTCTTAGCTGCAAGGAAGGGTCCAAGGGATACTTGTTGTTGAGGGAAGGGACAGACTGGAGCAACGAACCGGGTGGATCATTTTCATGCTGGAGTAGGTAAGCTGTGTTTAGCTATTAGTGCTCATAGATCCAATCAGTGGCAAGTTGGTCTTTGTTGCATTGTTGCGCTTGAGGGCAAAATCCTGCAATCTTAGACTGCTAAATTGGATAATGTGGAGTTTGAAGAAAAAGTTGAGCTCTTGGGTCTGAGATGGGGCTTAGAAGTGGCATCATTACATGACTTGATGGATTTTTCTTGTTGTGTGAGAGACCATCACTGTGTGCAAGATCAAATCTGAAACACAACAATCAAAGGGCAGTCAAGGAGCATTGTGATGGATATTTCTTTCTTGTCGACAGTGTTATTGCGGTGTCTATTTATTTCTGGCTTTTCGTTTTGTGTTTGTAATTATAGGCCTTGTTGGTAGTCAGCGGTTAGCTGTTAGCTGATTGTAATAACTGTTTTGACCAACGTATTGTATGAGCTAATTTGACCAGCAGATAGTAATAGCGGTTTTTAAAAGTATGTTTGGTAAAAGTAGCTTATTGATTTAAGAAAATTTTATTGGTATTATTAACTTGAAAATTATTTTTTTATAAATATACATTGGTTATATTCGTGTAATTATTTATATTAACAAAAAATATTTTTGATATAATAACTATTTTCAGATTATTTTTTATTATTTTTGTTGTAAAAGTAATAAGTAAAATAAAAATATAAATTAAACATTAAAATAAATGGTCTCAAAATACTAAAATAGTGTTTGAAAATTTAATGAGAAATAATACTCTAATTGTTATCTTTCCAATAAAAAAATATTTTTTTGTTGCGTTTAGTAAATAAATGATTCTATAAAAGAATCCTATATGTTGTGTTGTGTTATGTTAAAAAATGGAGATTAAAAAATGAACCATCAACACTCAAGGCTACTGTCATGTGGATTTTTCAATATTAAAAATAAAAACCGTCAAATCCACTTTTATTAGTTAGTGCAAAAGTAAAAAAAAAGATGAAAAATTTATCCAAAATAGTTAGTACAGAAGTAATTGATCTAATCCGTTGTTGCAAAACGCTTTGAATAGCAGCGTTTTCATTTTCAGCTTATTCATCCAATAAGCCAAATCAAAAAGCCATTTAACCAAACATCAATTTCAACTGTTTTGACCAAATGAAAAAAGCTAAGCTCCCCCAAAAAGCTATACTCTTGTCAAAACGCTATTAAACAAACAAGGCCATAAGCCGGCCAAGTTGGCTATTCATGGGAATTGATTTCGATTCTCCGTGGTGAAAGTGTTTCCCGTGTTTGTTTTATTGGGATTTGTTTCCTTATCGATCAGTTGATCACCTTCTGTATGAACCTTTTTATGAGTTTTAAGTCCAGCATATAGTACACAAAAATTGTAGTAGTCGGTTTATTTTGGAATATTGATATTTTTTACAATAATTTTAACACTTATTTTATATTATATATCACTTTCCCTATATTTAGCATAAATAAATAATTTTCAAAACGCCTTTGAGAGAGGAAAAACCTAATCCCCTAATCCCCAAATTCACAGCACCTCGTCAATAATCAATTCGCGTGGCCTTTCCCGGCGACTGCGAGCAAGGGCCAGTGGTTGCCTTTGACCGCTCGGCCGCCCTCTGTTGTGTTCGCCTCCGCCTCCGTCGCTGTTGTGGCTGTTGGAAGATTTGGTTTCGGACCTTGGTTGCCGTTGGGTCTCGTGGTGGAGCTCCTCAATCAACCTTCGATTATCAAAGGTTAGTTCCTCGATCTGCTTCGGATCTATGTCTTCGCTCGGCCTTGCCCTCTGGTGGGGTTGCCGGAGAGGCCCTCGGACAGCCGCGGTCTTGGTCGTTCGGGATGGTCGTGATTGCCCTTTGGTGGGGCTTCTTGGGTGGACCTCCGAGCTTGGATTTCCGACAGTTTTTGGTGGTGAGGGGCGGAGTGCGGAACTTTGGGGGTAGGCCGAGACTCTTGTTTTTTTGATCTTGGTGTCGGGGACGTCAGAGTTGGGGACCGAGTCACTCCTCTCCCTGATGGTTTTCTGGTGTTGGAAACTTAGGGGTTTGGCTCAGCCGAGCCTGGCTAGTGGTTTTAGGCGCGCTTGGGTGGGGCTGATTTGGGGGGCTGACTGTTTTGTCCTCTCAGTTGAAGGTGAATTGATTCGAGTTAGGTTCCGGGCAGGGGCGGCCAGGATTTCAAATCTACCCGGGCTAGAATTATTTTGCCGAAAGAAAAAAAACACATACAATAAATGATTAAAAAAATATACATTTTTATCGCATTCAAACAAAATTTTATTTTTCATTATCCTGCATAAAAATTAAAGAAGGTTAAATAAATGTACCNAAAAAAATAATGAACCCAACTTTTAAATGTAATTGTTTAAAAGCAAAAGTAACTATCAATATATTGCAGTTATTAGTATTTAACATGTAATCAGTGATTGCAAAGTTTTAGCATGTATACATAAATGCACTTACTGGGACAGCTTCATCAGCTTTGAATGTGCCCAAGCCGCATCAACTCCAGCAATCCCACCTTGCCAAATAACATCCTGAGACAGATTCATGAAGCCTTATCAGTTACAATTAGAATTAAACCATTTATTTCACGAAGGTAAATATTTTTAAATTAAAAATAAGAGACGTACTCATACTATTGAAGTTGCGATCTACGATTCTTTGAAACATAATATTCATCAATTATGGAATCCGAATCGATACTTGAATCAAACTCTCTCTCAATATAGAGGATCATAGAATCGGCTAAAAATTCTTCTCCCATTCTATTTCGAAGAACAGTTTTCACATGCTTCATAGCAGAAAATGTACGTTCCGTGGTTGCCGTAGAGACGGGCAAAGTTAAAACCAGACGAATCAACTTATCAATCAAATTATAGCACTGGACCTTTTTCATTTCAGATAGTCCTCGACACAGTTCTAAGATACTGGACATTTGCTGAAAATGCTCATGGCAAACAACATCAAGCTCAAAATGTTGAAGTTGGCACCTTAAATGATGTATTTCCTGTTCGCTAAAGTCTGCAGAATAATACTTCTTCGCAAGAGTACAAATCTTATCCATATCAAACCATTTAAAATTATCTTTCGGATCCAAAGCACAACTAAGCACAAGAAGCTCCACAGTCTCATCATTGAATCTAGAGTTCAACTCTTCCAATTGAAAATCTATTGCCGCATTAAACACATCGTAATGAAAGTGATGCTCAACAGTGATGGTATCATTTTGCCGACATGAACGACTGGAATGCTTGTAACGAGCACTCATATCTGGTACATCAACGTCCAATTTTTTGCAGAATGATTTGACATAGGAAAGAAGATCATCAGAAGCATCATTTCTCAATGTCAGAAGAAGTGTTTTTGTCGTTGCGACCAAATCCATCGCACTTACAATATCAAGTGATTTTTGTTGCAAGGCACGACAAAGAACATTCGTGATACCCATAATTTTATGCATCAAATGCAGGATGAAAATAAAGTCGAAAGATTTCATCACCAATAGTGAACCACTAGCTTCCCCTCGCATTGAAGTAGAAGAACCATCAACTATAATATTCTCAAGCACATTAATAGTCGCACTGTACATATCTATCAAACTACAAATAGAGTCAAAATGGAAACTCCATCGAGTAGCTCCTGCTCGTTGTAAAGTACCAAGCTGATTAGCACCCCTGCCTGTTTCACGTTCACCAGCGGCAATAGAACAAGCGATTTCATTAGCTTGTGAAGATTGTAACTCGGTGTTACGCTTGCAAGAAGATGTAACCAAATTAACAATGGTTGTAATATTTGAATAGAAAATCCATATGGATGCTTCTTTTTCAGCTGCTGCAACTAATGCTAGTTGAAGTCGATGAGCAAAACAATGCACATAATATGCATAAGGGCAATCTTTAATAAACAAAGCTTGTAAACCATTGAATGCACCACACATATTGCTAGCACCATCATACCCCTGACCTCGCATGTCATTAATTTCTAAGTTATATTTTCTGAGGACATCACATATTGCTTTCTTCAATGTTACAGCTGTGGTGTCATGAACATGCACAATGTGGAAAAATCGCTCTCGCAAAATTCCATGGAGGTCAACGAATCTCAATATTATAGCCATGTGTTCCTTATTGGACACATCTTTTGCCTCATCCACCAAAATACAGAACTTAGAGTCCCCAATTTCCTCACGAATTTTACTCCTGATTCTGTTACCGATAATATGCAATATCTCTTTCTGAACCTCCGGTGATGTATATTTGGCGTTCCCTGGAGCCTTCTCTAAGATAACATCACCAATACTAGAATTCCATTTCCCCAAAAGTTTTAGCATTTCAATGAAGTTACCACGATTTTGAGATTCTAAAGATTCATCATGACCTCTTAAACCACAAGCTTGCAAGCTAAGCCAACGAACACTCTCTATTGTTGCTGTAAGCCTTAATCGATGTTTTCGAATTTGTTCTGAAGTTTCTCGATTAAGGACTTTATCTACATGTCTAGTTACATTCATCAAATCAACAACTGATTTTTCCGAGTTATGATGCACTGAGTTAGAATTTCCTATATGAGACAAAAATGCACAATTAGTTCCATCATTTACAAGTTTCCAATTGTTAAAGCCTTCAATAGTAAATGTACATTGATGTGCTTCACTAGATTCGAACAGATAACATGGAAAACAAAAAACTGCATCTTTTGAAGGAGAGTACTCTAACCAGGAAAATTTTTTAAACCACGCGTATTGGAATCGACGATGTTGCTTTCCGAACTCGGACCGTGGATATTCTGTCAATTTAGGTTGATATGGCCCCATTTTGATATAAGCTCGCCTAATTTCATCACGACAATTAACGGGATGTCGCCACATAGGAATACGTAATCCAGGATCCCGTTCAAGACAAGTTTCATCAAATCCAATTCTTGGAGACTTAGAAGGGTGTTGGGGATCCTCATTAGAAATTACCGGATTACTTTCAATAGCGGTTGATGAAGCCCCAGATGATGAAGAATTATCATTTTTGGGCTTAAAGAACGAGAGAATATTAGGCCTCTTTCTTCCTTGATTTGACATTGAAAAATTGAAATACCTGATGACTAAAAGAGAGATTAACAACCAAACACAAAATCATCATGTCCTATACCAAAACTCACAAAACCCCAAAAAACAAAGATTAGAAAAATAAACTCCCACATGAACCCACTGTACAACTTAGATAACAGACAATAAAACAATACAACCTAAAAATAATTCATCACTGATTAGCTATTTAATTTGAAGGGAAAATAATTCATGCTCTTCCCACAAAATGATAAAAGGTTGAATTAATTCTTCATCATAATTAAATCAAAAAACTGAATTAATTTATTGATCATAATTAATTTCCTAAACATGATAATTTACTAAACAAGATAATCTACTAAACAAGATAGGTTATTGAACATGATAAAATATATAAAAAAGGGAAAAAATTACCTCAATATTCAGAAAAGAAAAAAGACGGAGATGATGAGGGAAGGAGCCGAGCAGTAGCGATATTTCCCCTCACAAAATTTGGTGTCGTGACTCGTGAATTGAACAAGGTTCCCTTTATTTGTGATTTGTGAATAGCTGATACAAGCTTGAGAAAATAAGAATAAACCTTCCCGTAAGCAAGAAATAATACCCTTTCTTAAAGCTTAATTTAATATATAATTGGTAGTGTTGGGTTGGATTTAATACAATTGAATATGTGGGCTTAATTAATTGAGTGAATTGGGCTATATCTATATGGGCTAAACTAATTAAGTCAGGTGGGCTAAACTACAAAAGGAACATAAAATATACATAATATATAGAGAGCCCAAATAATCTTACCTGGGCTACAGCCCGGTTGCCCTAAGCTGTAGCTCCGCCCTTGGTTCCGGGTCCCGGTTTGGCTTCTGTATAGGCGTTCGGCAGCAGTTTCGGAAATTGTGACTGGGGCTTAAGATCATTCCTGGATTGATTGGTTCGCTGCTGGTTTCAATCTGTTTGTTTCTCGGGGAAGGGCGTTCATTGTTCGTATTTAGTATGTTTTGTTGATTTATCAGTGATTTTTTGTTCGTTCCGTGTTTTTCTGTTCGTTGTGGTTTTTGTGTTTCTTGTGTTTTGTTGAGTATTACCCCGTTGGGGTCGGTTCTAGGCGGTCTTTTGACCTGTCCTCTCAATTTTTGCAATGGTTGACTGTCTGTATTCAACTGTTGGCTGTTTGTATTCAGCTGGTTGTTGTACCTTTGCACATTTGTGTGATTTTATATATAATACTTCTATCATTTAAAAAACATAAATAAATAAATAGGGATCGATTGTCCCGGTGGTACCACACGACATAAAAAGTGCGAAACCCGTTTTAAAAACGTGGTTGTACGAGTTCTTGTCGAGTTCGACATTGGACCACATGATTTTTTACAAAATGCGAAAAGAAAAAAAAAATGAATAGATTTAGCTGTTACATGCATGGTTTACGTGGAATGCCCATAAGAGGACGCGCCGTCCATTTTGTCCTCTACCCACACTCGAATTGCCACATCCACGGTCCACCACGTCTAATCACGTGAACATGTCTAATTGTTAATTTATTGATATGGTATGAGACAAAGAAATATCAGTGTTCTAAAAGTCGCTAGGCGCCCGTTAGGCGCTCGATCAGTGCCTAGCGCCTAGTCGGGGCCCAGAAATCAATAGTAAATATCTTATTTTTTATTTATTTTAACTACCTACAAAATAAAATTATCTCAACATATAATAAATTCACACACCAAAGTCCAAATAATAATATTAATATATATTAAAGAAAACATGAGAACAAATAATGTAATTAGTATTTAAAAAAATAAAAAAAATTAAAAAAAAAATTGAAAAATTACCGCCGAGCCCGCCTAGGAGCGCCTAAATCCGCCTACGCCCGCCTAGACGCCGCGTAACCGCCTGGCCGACGAGCCCGCCAAGGCCGCCTAGGAGCGCCTAGAGCCGCCTAGGCGCCGCCTAGCCGCCTGGCCGATTTTTTTTACCAATTTGTACAAATCGGAGGCGCCCGGGCACCGCCTAGCGCCTAGGAGCCGCCTAGGCGGCCGCCTAGGCCGATTTTTAGAACAGTGAGAAATATAGCATTATTACTATATATCTCAGAATTACGTGGTTTGGTTGTGCTCGTTGAGAAAAGATCCCAACACAGAGTTGGTAAACCAGATTAACAAGTATGTTTTTAAATTGATAAATTAGATCGATTTTGTAGTTAACTTTTCTTTACTAAATGTATTTTAAATATATTATCTTTTATATTTTAGCTTATTTTGTCTTTAAAGTAATATGAATATTTATTATGTTGCAATGTATTTCGTACATACTTCATAGTTAAGGGAAAACGTAACCTGAATCCTAAATGGGTTCCACTTAAGGTCAATTTATTGAATAATGTTAGGTGTTTTGATTTTGGAGATTTTTATTATTTCCTTGGTTTTATGCATCGATTTAGTTTGTGTAGTATAAATGATGTTTTTATGTTTTTCATTAAGTGCCGAAAACAATTGG